GCCTTCAGACTGCCTGACGGTCTTTGCAGAAAATGGCATGGGCTGTGCATTTCTGAAGGTAACGAGAAAGTAGAGCCGAGTTCCCAGCATACCTGTGGGCAGCTGCTGACAGGAATGCACTGCTTCTTGCGACACTCCGTCTTCCCCTTCACACAAGCACAAATGCTACAGTTGACAGAGGACCACATCTCTCCATCCTGTGGGACACAGCACAAGATTCTGCTATCAGGTGGGGGTTGCAGGAGCTGAGCCAGTGGGTTACAACGTCCTGACTGAGAAGAGCATGCCTACCCTGCCTGAGCCACACAGCTTAGCCCAAGTGACTCTGGGGCCTCTATATGTAATCAACTTAACATGGGGGTTAGGGAAGATTTCAGGCATTGTGTGTTTGGGGGGTGAAAGAATCTTGCTCCAAAAATGTGGAGGATTTTTCTGTATCTAACCAAGTCATGTTTGCATCTCACCCCTCATGTGCTCATGTGTTTTTCTACTTGCACCCTGGAAGACAAGGAAGTATAAATTTCCCTACATGATTTATGAACAAAATCTTAACTTTCCTCTGTTTAATGAGATTGAAATACTTGCTATCTCAGGCATCACAGTTAACTGAGATGTTTAGGCATGGTGATATAAGCCCAGGTGTGCTATGCCCCTAACCCACCCAGGATTTGAAAAGTACAAAAATTATCAAACATCGGCCAGGCAGATACCTGGTCAGCAGCCATCTGAACACACAGAGCCCAGACAGACCAGCCCTAGAGACACGCATAGCTTGTACATTGCCTGTCTACCACTCTCCTCCGAAAATGCAGGCTAGCATTTTGGAACACATTTCTAAAGACTAGATTCTTGCTTAGACACAATGTGTTGATACTTGATAAATGTATTGGGCTCACTGGATTTATAGCATGCAGTTAGCAGGTGCTGATCCAGAACACATGAGGCAGAGACATACTGAAGTTGGAAAGATCAGACAAATCTGAAAGATCAGGCAGATCTGAGGACAAAATGAGGATTCCTTTCCAGGCCCGTGGATTCAAGATCTTTGGTGCATCCTCTCACTTCTCAGTTTTTGAAGATATTTTAAGGACTGCCCACCCTCTGCTTCCTTTTAGGAGAGAGAGAGAGAACTAACTAAACCTGTCTTCAAAGGGCATTGAACTTATCAATGTTCTATGCACAAATGTTCCCAGGGCTCATAGTCTCTGTAAAGTACTTTAAGCCCCAGGTACTAAAAGATACCTTTTTATAAAGTGACTTCAAAGTGTTTTGTCCAAAGCACTCTCATAAGAGGAGTTTATTTTATCTTGGTGTTCTAGGGACAAGTGACGGCTTTGAAAAAAGAGGATTTTAAATGAGTGGCCCTGAAAACTCTCTGTCTGACCCCTCCGATGGGCACAATTCATTGTCTTCTCTCTTGCAGGGTCCATAAGAATCTAGACCTGTCTTCAATCATGTCAGTGGATTGGCAGCCTGGGGGAGCCTCCACATCTGACATGATGTTAAGGGTCTAGATGCATCCGGCTGTCATCAAGCATGTCTTTGATACAGAGTCTCTCTCTCTCTCATCCTTAAGGAAAACATGCTAAATAAGAGAGGGAAGGCAGTTTGAACTAAGCTAGTACCTGCTTCCTGAAGTTAAATGGTTAGTACTCCACTTAAGATCACCAGAAAACAATGTAGAGCACACTTCAGGCAGAGTTGGATGGCCAGTAAGCAAGTGTTTGAATACTGTGGAGTTGGACTCTCAAACTTATGCTGGTCACTTACATTGTAAGCATCCTCATCTGAACACCTTGAAGTGAGCCAATTGTTTAAAGAAATCTGCAGAATGTTGCTGAAAGCATCTAATCAATAATAGACCTATCAGGATCTGTCCATGGTCATGATCTTGACAAGGTGCACTGAGCATCCTCAAGTGAACAAGATGTTCTCGGGCAATTGAGCACCATAACCACACCAGCCATGTGGCTTGCTCAGCTGAGCTTCAGGCACTGGTTGATCACATAGAAAGAGCAATAACACTGACACATTTAGAGTCTTCCAGGTCCTTGATTTTAACACACACACATACACACACACACACACACACACACACACACACACACACACGTGTAAATTAATATATCAAATATACATGTGTGTTTTTAAATGTATAGATTACATAAAACTGGAACATTTTAATGGCCATTATGGTATAATGGCTCCCACAGCTCATGACACTTGTGATGGCATACATACCCTGAAAATCTTGCTGCCAAACTTGCATACTTTGACATCATCTGGGGGTACTCGTAGGAGACACTCTTCACAACAGGCATCCCCATCATTGTCACAGACACCAGGCTGGGAGCACTTCTTCTTACACACCATTGTAGAGTCCTGGAGACCCAAAGGCAGACTAGAAATTAAAAATGACTTTCACCCCTCCTAGGCATCCTTCACAGGCCTCCTCTAACAACCTACAATGGCTCCACATTGTACTCTCCTAGCACCATGCTTTAATGTGGTGCAATAAACATTTCATCCGCTTCAGAACATGTTTCCTGACTAATGTCTGTAGCAGATGAGGATGTGGCACACTCCCAGTCCTGCTTCTACTGGTCTATAACTTCATGTTCAACATACTTCCTCAGGGGACAAGAAATCCCAGATCACTGTGGACCAATGCATTTCCTTCTTCCTGCTCTTCTTTCACTTTCTAAATGAACAGAGCTTGTTCAGATTTCCTGCACCTTCCCTAGAAATTAGGAAGATCACAGGATGAGGCTGCTGGAGAGGGAAGCCCTACAGACAGAAAGTGATATTGGTTATCCCAATGAATGCCATCTTTGGTGGCTTAAATGAGAGCATCCTCCCCCCCAAGACTCATATATTTGCATATTTAGTCCAGAGTTTGAGAAAAATCAGAAGGATTAGGGAGTGTGGCCTTGTTGGAGGAAGTGTGTCACTGGGGGTGGACTTTGAGGTTTAAAAAGCCCTGCCAGGCCCTGTCTCCTTACCCCTGCTGCCTATAGATCAGGTTGTAAAACTCTCAGCTACTGCTTCCCACTGTGATGATAGTGGATTTACCCTCTGAAACTGTAAGCAAGTCTGCAATCAAATGCTTTTATAAGAGTTGCCTTGGTCATAGTGTCTCTTCACAGCAATAGAACAGTAATTAAGACATGGCTGACTCCATAAGTATCCACTCTCCCAAAAACGTCTACAGACTCACATTGTGATAAGCCCACCACTTTCAGGAAAAGTATTCACTCTAGTATTCTAGCTAAAATAGGACTCATTGCCTGATGATGTCTCAAAGATTCCTTGAGACCCAAAGTGATGGAAATACTAGCATAACTAGCTCCCATTTGTGGACTGATGGGCTGTTCCTTAAACAAGAGGTGGTGAGAAGGTGACATGTTTCAGCAAAGGCTCAATTTCAATTTCCAAGAGAAAGCTGTGGCCTGTGAGATTTCAGTATAGATGTGAAGTCATGGGCATGGAGACTAAGTTCACAAGGAGATGCTCTGTGTGTTTACATAAAGCAGTGTACATAGAGGGAGTTGTATGTTTAGCACAGGATCATGCAAACCATGGAAGGTGGGCATCACCTCACAAGAATATCCATGGGCTTTGAAATTGATCCGTTTATCTCTGTAGTGAACTATAAAGCCATGCCTATTTCTTCTCTTGAATACAATTAAAGTTATTTTCATTATTAAGTATGCTACAGAATTTATTTCAGATAGGTGTAGCCCTAGAACAGGGCCATCTATATTTGTCTGACTATAGAGAATGCTTAGAACAGACTCCACATCTCCTCTGTGACCTTGAGTATGATTATATTCTTCAAATGGCATCAACAATGATTCCTCCTGATGAACAAAATGCTATCACATTTGCCTACAATTCCACTGTAATCCAAGCTTGTTGGGTTATGCCACAGCCTCTTAGAGCCCCTTACCTTGCAAGTGCACACTGTGCAGTTATCATAGAGAAATGAAGATCCATTGTCATATACATCACTGCGAAACAGGCAGCTCCCAAAAGGAAGGTCAAATACTTTCCTCTGACCTATAGGGAAGCAAGAGTAAGCACAATGTAAGCATGATGGAAACCAGACATATCCCATCTTACCATCTTATCATTGATAATTACATCACAGGGCTGTGGAACACTCTCACAAGGCCAGGTAAATGTGATGTACAAAAATGGAGCCTTGGGTCAGATATACCAGGAGGTCCCCAGGAATTACCAATTTGAAGAGCCATTGTATAAAAGTTTGATTCCACAATGAACTTTGCAGATTCAACAAACTATCTGTTTACCATAGTGGGCATCTGCTGCCTTATGGAGCTCATATGGAGTGAAGATTATTTCAGCATAACATGGTGAGTTCTAGACGTTGTGACTAATTCTGCTGTCCCTTAGACAACAAGTAACAACACCCCCCAAAGTAGCACCAGTGAAAGGGAGGCTGTAGGTAGAAAGAATCAAGAAGATAGCCTCAGGATTATCATGAAATAGCATCTTTTATGGTCTAAATGATTTGTGTTCCCACAAAACTCATACACTGAAACCTAAGCACCGAGCAATCATATTAAGAGGTGAGAGCTTTGAGAGGTGATTAGCTCATTAGAGGGAGCGCTCACTAAAATGTCTTCATGTAACAGACCCAAGAAACACTCCTTGTTCCTCCCACCATGTGAAGAACAGCAAGAGGAACACCTATAAGCTAAGAAGAAAAGCTCAAAGAATCTGTAGGAACCTTGACATTGGACTTTGCAGACTCTAGAGTTGCATTTCTGTTTGAAAGTGACCCTGTCAATGTCATTTTACTATAATGGCCTAAATAGATCAACACATAAGATCAGTAAAGACATTACACAAAGGCATAAAAGCGAAAGTTAATTCAGGAACCATCCCCGAAATGGTTTTAAGTTTCTTTAATTAAAGACTAGGTTAAGAAACTGATAAGACAGCCATTGCAGTACCCTGAGCTCCATAGAGACAGCGCCGGGGCAAGCGCGAGCTGGACGGGCACTGGGCGACTCTGTGCCTCGCGGAGGAAAATCAACTAAACATGGGCAAAGGAGATCCTAAGAAGCCGAGAGGCAAAATGTCCTCATACGCATTCTTTGTGCAAACTTGCCGGGAGGAACACAAGAAGAAGCACCCGGATGCTTCTGTCAACTTCTCAGAGTTCTCGAAGAAGTGCTCAGAAAGGTGGAAGACCATGTCTGCTAAAGAAAAGGGGAAATTTGAAGACATGGCAAAGGCTGACAAGGCTCGTTATGAGAGAGAAATGAAAACCTACATCCCCCCCAAAGGGGAGACCAAAAAGAAGTTCAAGGACCCCAATGCACCCAAGAGGCCTCCTTCGGCCTTCTTCTTGTTCTGTTCTGAGTATCGCCCCAAAATCAAAGGAGAGCACCCCGGCTTGTCCATCGGGGACGTGGCGAAGAAGCTGGGGGAGATGTGGAACAACACCGCTGCGGACGACAAGCAGCCCTACGAGAAGGCTGCCGAGCTGAAGGAGAAGTACGAGAAGGATATCGCTGCCTACAGAGCTAAAGGAAAACCCGATGCGGCGAAGAAGAAGGGGGTCGTCAAGGCTGAAAAGAGCAAGAAAAAGAAGGAAGAGGAAGATGAGGAGGAGGATGAAGAGGATGAGGAAGAGGAGGAAGAAGAGGAAGACGAAGATGAAGAAGAAGATGATGATGATGAATAAGTTGGTTCTAGCGCAGTTTTTTTTTCTTGTCTATAAAGCATTTAACCCCCCTGTACACAACTCACTCCTTTTAAAGAAAAAAATTGAAATGTAAGGCTGTGTAAGATTTGTTTTTAAACTGTACAGTGTCTTTTTTTGTATAGTTAACACACTACCGAATGTGTCTTCAGATAGCCCTGTCCTGGTGGTATTCTCAAGAGCCACTAACCTTGCCTGGTACAGTCTGGGGGTTGTAAATTGGCATGGAAATTTAAAGCAGGTCCTTGTTGGTGCACAGCACAAATTAGTTATATATGGGGACGGTAGGTTTTTTTTTTTGTTTTTGTTTTTATTTTTTGTTTTTTTGTTTTTTTTTTCATCTTCAGTTGTCTCTGATGCAGCTTATACGAAGATAATTGTTGTCCTGTTAACTGAATACCACTCTGTAATTGCAAAAAAAAATTGCAGCTGTTTTGTTGACATTCTGAATGCTTCTAAGTAAATACAATTTTTTTTATTAAAAAAAAAAAAGAAACTGATAATTCATGTTCACTGAAGAAATTTATAGCCAAATTCCTCTTCTTTTTAAAAAAGATTAACATTTATCATTAGTAAGTCTGATGGAATCTTTATCAGTAGGTCCAGAATAGCTACACACATACTAAATGCTGTTCTCACAATTACAGTTGTTGGAAATACTACTAATAGGAGTTAAGAAAAACTATTCTCTTCCTAGGGGGACGTCAAGGGTGCACAGCAGATCCACACTAAATCAACTGGGTTTCATCATGAGGAAGAAACTGGCCAGACATCAGAAGATAACAATGAGCTATGATTTGGATTCCATCTATAGACTCCTTCATGACCTTGGGTATGATCACTCTGGATTCTCTGACTTCACTCATAACGTGGCATCCATAGTGCCATTTCCTCACACTGCCACCTCTATCTACAATGATAATGTTAAAGTATACAACTGAAAACTGTCCATGACTAGACAAAATTTAGCACAATCATTGTGTTTTCTTGGCTAATATATGTATGTGTGGTATGTATGTGTGCGCACACGCGTACACACACGTGCACATGTGTATGCATGTGGGCATGCATGTGGGTGCCATAGGTTGACATCAGGTGCCTTTCTCAATTTCTCTCCATTTTATATGTTAAGGCATGTTCTCTTATTTGTATCCAGATGACTGATTAGGCTAGTGTAGACAGCTACTTCCAAGGGTCCCCTGTCTCTATTCCCACAAGATGGGATTACATACTAGCCATACAGTCAATCTGTTTACCACCTGAGTTCTGAGAATCTAAACTATGGTCCTCATATTTGCATGACAAACACTGTTGCCCACTGAGATACTTCCCTAGCCCATCAACATTAATAACATCCCAATCAACACAGGCAATTCTTATGTGCCCAACTACATCCTGAGACTCTTTAACTTCCAGAAAAATATAAAATTCATTTCCTCCAAGGACCCCTTTGATGTCACTCTAGAGCATCAGAAAACCATTAGGTGAATCACATGGATTGACCCATCCCATTATAATCACTTCTGCCCAAACACATCCTAGTTTAGAACATTATAGTATAAAAAAAAAAACCTGTAACCAGTTTGTTATTGTTGTTGTTGTTTTAGTCTGGTGTGATTAGAAACCTGACAGCCTGGGAATTGAACCTGGATTCACTGGAACATCAGTCAGTGCTCTTAACCACTGAGCCATCTCCCTTCCCCGCCAGTTTTAAAAATATTTACTACAAAAATGATGTTGGTAATTTTTCACAAATTGAGCATTATTCTCCTAATCAATCTATCAGAGATATACTTCTGTCATTGAAGAAGCAAAATAAAACTATAGTTCAGTAAAATATTTTCTAAAATTATGATCTGGCTGTCCTTTCCCATACTTTATCTACACTTCAAGTATTTCACAACTGACCACAAATGGTTTGTGGCAAAAGGCAGATATTGCTAAAAATAAATAAATAAATGAATGAATAAATGAATGAATTGTGCCCTATAGATTTTTATATGCTGTGTCTGTATTTCTATTCAGTTCTAGGAAATGTTAATTTTTTTCCTTCACCTGATTTTGGTTGTTTAGTTTCCGTGAGTTTGTATCCTTTCTGTCACTTCTCTTGTTAATATCCAGCAAATCCCATCACTTGTGGGTAGAGGCAGCCCAAAGGGTTCCATCTGACAAAGCGTTAATATCTACAATCTACAAGTAACTCAAAAACTTTAACATAAAGAAACTAACAACTCAATTATAAAACGGGGCACAGAACTACACAGAGTTCTCAACTGATGACATACAAATAGTTAAGAAATATCTTTTAAAATGTTCAGCATCTTTAGCCATTAGAGAAGCGCAAATGAAAAACTGCTTTTGTTTCAGCTTGTCCCAGTCAGAATGACTGAGATCCAACAGTGGCACGTGCTGTCTGGGTGTAAGGACAGGAGAGCACGTACTCACTGCTAGTGGGGATACACGCTGGTACAGTGACTATGGAAGTAAGTGTGGAGGTTCCTCGTAAATGAAAATAGATCTATCATATGATCAGCTATACCACTCTTGAGTATATCCACAAAGGGCTCCATATCCTAACACAGATACCCACTCATCCATGTTCATTGCTTCTCTACTCATAACAGCCATGGAGTGGAGACAGGATAGATGTCTACCAACTAATAAATACATAAGGAAAAAGTGGCATATTTACACAATGGAATATTATTCAGCTGTTAAAAATGAAATTTGCTAGTAAATGGAAGATGAAAACTATCATTCTCAGTGAGGCAACCCAGACCCAAAATGAGAAAGACCTCATATTTTTCTCTCATATATGGATGCTAGTTTTGAGTCTTCAGATACTTGTATTTCATTTGGAATGGCTACAGAGTTCAGAAAACTACTAAAGAGACATGGGAGGGACTTTCTAGGGTATAGGGACAGAACACATTGGTATAAAAAGTATTAATAGGGAATAATGGAATGGGAAGAGTTAAATTGGAGTGGTGGAGGGAGAGCAGTTAATATGGGGAGGGATAAATAGCCCTAAAGTCTTTTTTAAAATTCAGATAGAAGTCTACTTCTGTATACACTTACACATGTGAGAGAGAGAGAGAGAGAGAGAGAGAGAGAGAGAGAGAGAGAGAATGAATGTACCCTATACCAGGACAATACCTCTATAAGAGACCAGAGGCTAACCAAAGAGACCAGTACCAGGAATAGGTTACTTATTGTGGGCTGTTGGCTGCTGAGGTCTCATAGACCTACGCTACCCCCACAAACAGTACAGACTGTTGCCAGTGCTCTTGGCTACCCTCTAGGACTTGAGGACTATTGTTGAAGACACACATCCTTGACGGCTGTAACATGCAACAATTAAGCTAGTACTGACTTGGAAGCTTCATTCCTATTTGCTAGCTTTCATGGTACTGGACAATGCTATTCATACTAGCAGAGGAGAAAACTAGTATTCATTCTTACCCAGCTGTAAAGCTACATTAATGAGTGGCCTGGCAAGACATTCCCACTGGAGCAAAAGTGTCATGAATGTCATTGAAGTAACCAACTGCTTTTTGATTCAATTTTATTCACACTCCATAAGAGTAAACCTATACCTGGCACCATTATCAGGCAAAAACCCTATGACTAGAAAGGTCATAGACTCTTGGGGAGAATGTACTATTATTATTTTGTTAAATAGATATGGTATTAATGTGACTAATCATTATGGCCATAGATTAATACATCTGTCAACTCTCATCACAGAAGCTTCTACTTGCAGTAGATAGTGACTAACATGGACCTCCCAACTGGCCAAGGTACGGAAAATAGGAGACTGTGGAAGGCTCAGCTCTAAATGAAACATATATACTGTACCTCCTCCTCCGAAGACTAAGTGCTCCTAGAAGAAGAGGAGGCAGAAAGAGTGTAAGAACCAGAGGTGCCGGATGACTATAGGGAAACAGTATTTTTTTGGCATAGCAGAAAGCTGTCCATATGAATACACAGCAGTTGGGACAGCATACACAAGACCTGTGCAAGCCCAAGCTAGACCAAATCCCAGCATGGAGAGGGAAGCTGGGCATGAAATCCCATCCCAAGATGAGGAGCTATTGGGAATTGTTAGCTGCTGGGAGCAGAGTCAGTTTTTCTCTAAGAGTGTACTCCTTGTAAAACCACACACCCAAGAATATTTGCACAGTACAAATTGGCCTTGGATATTTTTTTGAAGGACATAAAGTTGAGTGGATAGGGAAGGTGGGAGTTGATCTAGGAAGAGTTACAGAGGGTGAGGGAATATGATCAAAACACACCGCACAAAATTCTCAAATAACTAATAAGATAAATATAGAGAGAGATCTCTATGGAGAGGTGGGCATGGTAATATATGCTTATAGTTCTAGTACTTGGGAGGCACAGGCAGGATGAACACATATAGCCTGGGCTATATGGCAAGAATCTGTCTCAAAAATAAATAAAATTATAATATCTCTGTGGAATCTTGCTCATAAACCAATTATAATACCTCTTCTTCATGGTTAGAGACTATATTTCCTCCACAGAGGTCCTTACATCTCTTAGAATACATAACCCTTTTCAACCATTACACAGCCTTTTGCTTATACCACTATTATTCTACTCAATACTATTGCATAAATGGATATTGTACAAATGGGAATAGATGGATAGATGATGGATGAATCTATGAATTGACTGATCTATTGATGGATGGCTGAACAAACAGACACTACAACAGTTATTTCCTGAGTTAGATGTGACCACAGGCTTAAATTATCCCTCACGAAAATGTAAATTGTACCTAGAACTATGGCTATAAATCTTCATGACATGCCTGGCTCTTATCTGAACTCCCAGCAGATGGCAGATGATAACTATTAGCATTGTTAATGGTGATATAATGTCAGTATTATCCTGGGCTATGCCACCTGGAGAGTTGTCTTAGGTACTGTTCTGTGTATCCTGATCTTTGATAAGATGCTCCATTGAAAATTAGCAAAGGGAGGAAGGAAATTCTGTAACCCAAATGGTGGAAGTGTTCCAGATGCAGGCATCCTGGTCAAGAAAAAAATCTAAGAGCAAGTCAGTACCCATTCAGCCAGA